TTTAACCGCCACTCCTTCCTTGGGCTTCACAGGAAACCAAGCCCCTTGGCTTGCTCCCAGACTCCAACCGGGCAACTCCCCTCCTCCAAGCAGTTGAGGTCCTTGTGTGGGGACCCTTGAGGCTTCCTGCAGCTGGGCATGAGAGGGGGGCCTTGGTCCTCACAAGAATGGAGGGCAGCTGCCCCCAAAGGCTGGGGCTGTGGTGGAAACTGAGGCCTGCAGGCTGGATAGGGTCAGGGTTGGGTGGGAAGGGAGCAGGGGCAAGACTTGGAAGCTGGAAAGTGGATGGGATTGTGAAATGTGCAGTTATTTTTCTGGACAGGCTTCTTTTTATTTCTCTTAGTTTAACTGAAAAAGTAGAACATATGCCTATGCTAAAATAAGGAAATAATGAAAAGAAAGTCCCCCTTCCTGCAGGCTGCTTATCTCCCAACCTGGAGGCAACTGCTACTAAAAGCATTTTGTATATCATTCAGAACTTTTCAATACTTTATGCGTATCTTTTTTTTTTTTTAACATTGTTACTACAAAGCGTTAACAATATGTCCTAGAGTTCTTCATAGAAATCTCCTCCGTTCCCGCCTGGTATTATATAGTCTGGGTACCATAATTCATGTACCCCAACTCCTGATGATAGACATTTAAGCTGTTTTCAGTCTTTTGGTATGACACATAAAGCTGTAATAGAAAACCTTGTTCAAACACATCGGTGCAATAATGGAGGGACACATTTCTAGAAGAGGATTATGTACCTTAGGTTTGGTAGTCTTTGCTGAGGTTGTTTTCTGACTAGCTAAGATTGTATCCAAAATGGTGGGAGAATTGGTTGTCAGCCCTCCATCCCTGCTCCCTCAGCCTAGTCCTTACCCCATGCAGGAATGTGATGCAGTGTTGGGGGTAATTTCCCCCAGGGGGTGGTTGAAAATCGTTTTTGTTGGGCTTTGGGGTGCATGAAGAGAGTTTTGCTTGTTGTTTTGAGGAATGATCCATCCCCCTATTACCGTTTGCTGCGGCAGGGCACTACTGGCAACCCTGACCAGAGCCAGAATGAAGAGACTGTGTAGGCAGGGGCTTGTCAGCTGAGAGTGGAGCCCACTCCCAGGGAAGCCCATGGGCTCCCCAGCTTCTGCTCAAGAGGCTGCAATGATGCTGCCATCACTTGTGGTTTTAACTTGTCAAAGTCGTTTGCAGCCAATATTTCATTCCATTCCAGCTGTGAGGGAGGCCAAACAAGTATTGTTGGTTAAATGAGGAAGCAGAGGCCCAGAGACGCTGTGTGATGTTGGAGTACAGTCATGAAAAGATATTGGTCCAGGAGTCAGGAGTCTAGGGTTTAAAGTACTGCCCCGAGTTCCATTAGTGATGTGGCCCTGGGCCTCTGCAGAAGCCTTTGGACAGGATGGTCACCAACCCCTCACCATCAAGGGTATAATTTGATGACTGTCCAAGGTCCTGCAGTTAGCTTGGGGACAACTGGGACATGGCCATGCTCAGTTGGCTGGTTGCTCCTGGTTCGCTGGGCCAGATGTTGGTTTGCCCATCATATGATGGTTCCAGGTGAGTGCCACCATCCTGCCATAGCTCCTATAGAGAAGAAGGTCTCTCCCTTGGGTGATGGTGCATTCTCTCAGGCTTCTCAGGGGATGGAAAAGCAGGGATATTGCACCACAGGCCCAGCGATGGCTGGAGCAGGCTGCTAGGGAACAGGTCCCCTACTGCGACCCCTTTCAGAGGCACTGTGGGAAGAACCTCTCTGCCCCATGAAAACCCCTATAATTCATGCCATCTGCCCCCATAAAACCAATCCATCTCCACCTGATCCTCCAGATGGCCTTGAGTGCCTGATCAAAGCCAGACCCTCCCTGGCCTCCTCCCCTCCTGGTCTGTTAATGGCCTTCAGTCATTCTGGCTCCAGGCCCCCTTAACCCCATCATCCCTGGCTTCCTCTCCTCCCCCAGGGTCTCTGTTCTGCTGCCCTTTCAATGCCTGGACTAGGGTCACACAGAGGAGGCCATCTCATAGCCAAGTGTGATTTCTTGGGAGAATCGCTGGGTTGGGATCAGGAGGCCTGGGTTCCTCTCCTGAGGTCACTACTGACTTGCTGTGTGGATTTGGGAAAGTCATTTAACCTTGCAGAGGCTTCATTCCCTATTTTTGACAACCAAGGTTTATATCGCAATCAAGAACTTACATCAAGTTCTTCACCCTCAGAGTCTCACTGAGTCTTCTAAAAGGAGGGAATTCACTCTTCTAACCACCCTCACAGTTCGTGAGAATGTGGGTATGGCGAGAATAGGAAGCGAATCAGAGGCCAGCAGTTATCGTGCCAGCCTGGGAAGAGGTCCCTGGGCATGAGCCTGTCTCTCCGGGCTGGTCAAGGCCCACTGTGGGAGGGCACAGGATTTCCCCAAGCTCGGTCACCCTGACTCCCTGGGAACTGTGGGTGCTAGCTGAGGCTCCCAATAAGACAAGGAAGGTGTTGGGGGACTCGGAGGAGGTCAGAGACCAGAGCACATGGAAAGTGACACTTCTGTTCCAGGCCACTCTGCTGAACCCAACGAGGTAGGGAGTGGGGCTTGGTGACGGCCCTCATGCTTCCCCAGAGTCAGCGCCTGCCCTCCCCAAAGACAAAACAGGAGGAAAGAAGTTAACTATGAGCAGGAAGGGTTTAGGCCAGACCAGCAGAAGGTCTATTCAAAGGCAGGCAGGGCCCTGCACGGTTGGTTGAGCAGTGGCGTGGAGACACCCTGTGGTGGGAACAAGGAACCACAGTTTGGTTCCCTATGACAGGTGATGGCACAAAACCCAGGTCGTCTTCCACAGAGACCTCTTTTCCTCCTCCCAGCGCTCTGGGAGGGCTACTAGTCAATGCCTGCTTTATGTGGAATAGTGGCCCAGATGCCGCCACTGTCCACTTCCTAGTTCTCCCATGTATCAGCCGTGTGACTGTGGCAGCTTATGCAACCTCTTGGAGCCTCAGTTTTCTCACCTGCAAAATGGGATACTACATAAGGTTGTTGCAGGGGTGAGGGCAAGGCCTGGTACATAATAAGAGCCCAGTAAAGGCTGGCCATTGGTAGAGAGGTTATGTCTTGCTCAGTGTCACATAGCTAGTAAGGGACAGACAGCTAAGATTGAATCCAGGTTTCTGCACCCCTGCCCCCTCATCCCCAGAAAGCAGGGAAGTTTGGACTGTCCAGTGTCCCCATTCCAAAGCCATGTTTATTCTGGAGACAGAGAAGGTGTGAATTAGATCTCACTTCAGGTGGGGCAAGAGAGAGTTGGTGGGCCACACTTGTTTTCTGTGACTGTTTTGGTCAGTGAGAGAACAGGGTTACTGGCAAGTGGAAAGAGGTGTCAGTGTCGTCTCTCCTGTTTCCTTCTCTGTCCCTTTCCCAACATTCCCTTGAGACCAGGCACCTGGAATAGAGGTGGACTATCTCCCTTCCATTTCAAAGAGTAGATCATGGGCTCAGAGAATCCAGGTGACCCAGACAAGACTGAACTGGCAAAAGGCAAAGCTGAGGTTGGGCTGGGGGACTCATATCTCTGTCTCGGAGCTCAGACACTGCTCCAACTACCCCATCTCAAGCGCCCAGCAAGTGAGGGCCTTGTGGTATGTCCTCAGAGGTGGCCTCTTGAAGGTAGTCCCTCCTGTTTCTGGCTTCCTGTCTGCCCGGGCCACTGCAGGAAACTCCTCATGGAGCTACCTGTCCATCTCCTCGTCTTTCCTACTCTTCTTGGCTCCCCAGGGAGGGCCACCAGGGAGTCACTGGGGTGAGAGGGCAAGTGCCAGCATATGCATTTGTGGCCCCAGCTGTGTTCACCAGAACCATCCCTGCCATCACTCCTCTCCCATCACCCCTCAGAGTAACAGCAGGCTTGTCCCTGCCTCCTTGGGAGCCTACTGGGCAGAATAAGCAACCACTGGCTGGGTCTTAGTTTGATTTGGTCTCCTGATAGGGGTGGTCTCTTGTGCTGGGATCCTGTCCCCAAGAACAAGGGTGGGACCTCACCTAGGAACATGCCAGAGCCAGCCCCAGAAGGCCAGGCCCTCCCTGTCCTTGGCCCCACCACAGTCTGATGTTGGCAGGGCTGGTCTGTGTGTAGAAATGTTTGTGCTCATCTGTTATGGATAAAGGAGCCAGGATGTGGTCACAGCGGGCCAGGCTGTCTACCCTGGTGGGTCACACCCGGAGCTGGGGAGGGGAAGCTTCAAGGCATCTGTCTGGGCACCAGGCTCTTGACCCCTGAGGAAGGGCCAGCGAGAAGTCCCTTGAAGCTCCAAACTGTCCTCTCCTCATGCGTTTACTCTGATGTTCAAGAACACCCACTCTCTCCACAGCCGGATGACCACTTTCCCTCGGCGGGGGGGGGGTTGGTTAGGGAGGAGATTGAAGGCCCATTCTTCATCACCTCTCAGGCCAGAGCACAGTGAGCAAGCTAACGAGAGCAGGAGGAATTGTAGCTGGATATCAGAAAAGACTTACTGGGTGGAAGTTGGTCTACTATGGCCCAGAAATCCCCCTGTGAGGCCAAGTTCAGTGATCAAAGATAAAGGAAGGGGATGAGCTGTTTCCTAGGATGGTCAGATGACTACCTCAGAGGCTGGTCCCTACTGGCCATGGGCCTGACACTGCTGTCCTGAGGAACGCTTGGGAACCCGCAGGCCGTGCAAGCATTGTTTATCCCTTGGCTCTTAAATGTGCAGACAGAATCCCTGCTGTAGGTAGTGTCACTCCATGGGGCCGGTAGGTTTCCCACTGGCTCTAGTGTGCCATGCCACTTGTCCTGCACCATGGGTTGGCTGAGGGCACCGATTCAGGCTGAGCATTGATTACAAGGGACAAGCTGGGCAATACATATTGTGTGGGGGTGAAGTTACTGAGCTGTATGTGTTGTCGGGGAGCTGGGTGACAACAAGAGCTGACATACATCGTCTTTCCTGTGCCCACTCTCCCTACGAGACAGACACCATCGTTTCTTCTGTCTATAGATGAGAAAACTGAGGCACAGAAATAAAACAACTGGCCTGGGATCACCCAGTCAGAAAAGACACTAGAGTCAGGGTTTGAACCCAGGCAATCTGACTCCACAGCCCACATGTATCACCACGATGCCCAACAGTCTGCGTAAGGGATAGGACTGTTGGGCTCCAGAGAAAGTGAGGTCTTGGGGGCAGTGGAGGGAAAGTTGGGGCAGGGAAGAGGGTTCCAGGTCCTGTGGGGAACAGGGATTTGGGGAGATGGGGACAGATTGTGAGGAGGGGAAACCAGTGTGACTGGGGTTCCCTGTGAGAGGCAGAGAGCTTCTGTCAGAGGGCTGGAGGTTGTGCGTCTTTCTGGCCTGCCTGGAAGAGATACTACCTGTGGGCATGGTATGTCGTGGGTCAAGAACAGGAATAGGTGTGTGATCAAGATAGCGATCTCCCCCCTACCTGACCCTCAGGTGGGCGACCCCTCCCCCAGCCTGGGCTCCTGTCTGTGAGCAGTCCACCACCTGACTTCAGTGGCCATGTGACAGTGTCATTTTCTCTGGTATCACACTGTGAGCAGGTGAGGGAACTCTGTTATCTGCAGCTCCGACAGGAGGTCCCTTAGCATCTGAATCTTGCCAGACCCCAGGAGCTCACACCAGGACCCTACTTCAACAGCTATGCCACTCAAGGTACCAGGCACAGTCAGCCCATTCCCCCCTGGGATTGCTCTTGTCCTGGTGGGGGTTAGGTCTGTCTGCCAGGGTGGGCTTGTTGCCCTGGAGGGGGCTATTGAAAGCCGCTGAGTTCGGGGAATCCCAGGAAGCTTATTTTATCCATTTAGCATCCCCATGCCCGCTCACCTTTACAAGCCACAGGATTCGGGGCAGGGGACCTCCTGGGCCCCAGATTCGTCATCCGGATGATGAAAATACGAAGTGCCTACCACAGAGGGTGACTGTGAGCATTCAATGAGTGTATGTGCTCGCATCCAGCAAACCTTGGCTTAGGCCCGCTCGGTGCCAGGTGGTAACTTCACCCCCATACAAACAGAGCCTACGCGCAAGGAGGGGACCCGCCAGGATCAGGGAAGCGGACTCAGGGACAAAGACCAGGATGTATCACCCACAAGGCTGGGCACCCGCTGGACCTCGCTTTAGAACAAAAGCGGCTTGCCCGGACGCTGAATTTCAGAGTAGCCCTCTGCAGAAAAGCTGAGGGCGGACACAAAGCCCGTGCGGCGTTGACCATGAAACAGGCCTTTATGGGGAGCGGGAGCAGCCCTCAAAGCCAAGCGAGCCGGGGCAGGCCCGGGAGCGCTGAGAGCCTGGGCGCCGCTGGCTTCCCACCGCCCCCGGGAGCCCCGCCGCGCAGCCGGGCCTCGCCACACGGGGGCGCGCGCTCCCTCCTCGCCCCCTTGCCCCGCCTCCCTTTGCCGCGTCCCTCTTTGCCTCGTTCTTTTCCTTTCCGTCCTTCCCGCTTTTCACTCGGTGAGAAGGATGCCCGCCCCTTGCGTAGCGCCTTGCAGCTTTAGAAAGCGCTTTCACTTGTCTTGGCTCATTGGATCTGTGTCACAAACCAAGGAGGTATCAGGATGCCCCTCAGCTAGCTCACTGTCCCTAGGACGGTCGCTCATTTCACTAAGCACCTACTGCGCGCTCAGCTCCCAGGATGCCGTGAGGGGGTCTGACTTTGTAGGACTTTGGACCCCACCTTAAGGACTAGTCTCTCTCCTGGGAACAAGGGAGGCTCTGGAGGGGATTTAGGCAGGGCGGGATGTGGAGGGAGGCGGGGGTGAGATGGAATGGATGTTTTAGAACGAAACCTCTGGCTGCTTGCTGAGTGGGAACAAATGGAGGGCGTCAGGGTGGCTGGAGGGAGGGCAGTCAGGAGGCTTCTGAGCAGTGCAGGGCGGCGATGGTGACAGGGTCACACAAATGTCAAGGCCGCTGCATCACACATGCCTGTGGGATTGGGCGTTGGTCCAGCCCCTCCCTCACGCCCTACGCCCACCTGAAGTCATCACTTTGATTGCAGACCCCTTCCTTCCGGGTGGAGCCCCCGGGTGTGCCTGCCTCGGACTGTCTAGATTTGCCACATCACAGGAAAGCTGTGACAGTAACCATCAATCAGCACCATGCCCACGGCCAAGGTGGAGATGTCCATTCAGGTGCTTGTCTGGACCCCATGTTAGGCCCTCAAAAGAGAGCAGCACCCAGTGTGTGCATGGGGCGGGGGGCACAATTTGTAGTTTATTCACTGCTATCGAATCCTGAAGCTTTGTTCTGTCAGTATAATCTGAGGCGATCTGTCTCCCGGGAACTGATTCACGGTCAACAAAGTTCCAGAAGACTGAAAAAGAAAGCATGGTGTCAATGTAGTATATAAGACTCTCACAGAGTTGTTGTGAGACATCCTCGCAAATATGGTGATATTTGGCAGGCACACACACGGGGTAGGACAGTGCCCGAGCCAAGCGAGTTAGCGACTTCTGAATGGATGTAAAGAGTATGTGATATTTGGGTCTGCCAAATATGGTTCTTCTCTGGGGTGCTGGTCTTCAGGCTTCTCATCCGGCTGGTGTTCAGAACAGTGATGGTTCACACATTGTGAAGTGTCACCAGGAAGTCCTCAGTCAGTGAGGCTTGATGAACTCACCAGTCTTCCAACAGAACGTACCTCTCTAGTGCCTGGAGTGTCCCTGTTCTCCAAATATATGGCAGGCCCCCTCCAGGAATGGTTGGATCTCAGGGAAACATTTTGTGTCTTATTTTTCTGGCTTCCTGCCACCCATCACTTTTTGATTACCACAGTCTTTCTCCAAATGGGATACGCATCAAGCACTTGGCCTTCTAATTTCTTCTTGTCCTACCTCTCTGTAGACACCCTGGTTCCTGTGACAAAATTTGGATGTTTCTAAGTCTTTTCAGCTTCATATTTATGGACAATTTCTTGGGTCACCTCTGTGCTCTTCCTGTATGAATTTTACTACCCAGTCTGACACTCAGAAGGTTACCAGTTACTGGCAACAGCCACTCTACCCGTGTCCAGGTTCATCATCTGCCATCCTTGTCGGACACTGACCACAACTAGGAGGACTCACATTTGTGAACTTTACAATTTACAACGTATATATGCCCTGCTCTTTGACCTTCAGAACAATCCCATAATGCTGTAAATTAGCATTCAACTCCACACGTGGGAAACTGAAGTTGAGTGATGGTTAAAATTGTATCAGGTCTCATACCTATTGTGTGGCAGACTCAGGACTAAACTCAGCGCTCATAGCCCCAAGATCCTATTTGTGGTTCTCCTTGCTGCCCCCCACCCCAGAACTCAGTGGTAGACAACAAGAGCATACTATTTGCAGGGTGGTGCTGGTGGTGTCCTCATCACCAGCACGGGTCTTACCCTGCATCTGGGTGACCAGCAGCCACCATCATGCCCTGCGGTTGTACTGAGAGCTGAAGAAAAAGATAACTGCGATTCATGAATGGTCAGTAAAGTGTTCACACCTCACGCAAGATCCACAGTAAAACTGTTTGAAGGGTGAGAAGAGGAAGGAAGATGGAAGCATTTTAAGATCAGAAAACATCAGAGTCCCCCATTCCTATCAACCATCTGTGGTAAGACTTAGTTAGATACTGAAGTTGATTATTAGCCACGAGATTTTAGGCCAGTCACAGCAATTTTGTGGGCCTCAGTTTCCTACTGTATAAAAAGAATTATAAGGTTCTGGCTTCCAGTAATGGAGAAATAGCTTTGTTGGACTAACCCTCCCTGCTTCCTGCCTCTTCCCCTATCCCCCTCACCCTACCCGGCAATCACTAGCAGCAGATAGCAATTATAAAATCTAGACAAAATATGTTGTCTAAGCCCATTGATTTAAAGACTAGAGAATGACTAAATGCAGCAGAAACTGAAGGGGTGTCTACCCTTTAATAAATGAGCTGTGAAGAGTGAGATTTGTGAAGTTGCAGTCTTATTCTGAGGGTATGAGTGAGTTTAGTGGTGGAATCTGCAGACTTCCTAGTCAGAGATTAGGGTAGAGCAACCAGAAAATTGGGGGGAGACCAAAAGGGATGGAACTGCAGAGGGGATGAACTCCCAAGTCTAATATAAAATCTGCTCAAATCCTTGGCTGATTGCTAAATTATTAAGCTAAACTATCAAACATGAAGGATCTTCCAGGCAGCCTGGAAAAAATGGAGCAGCTAGAAGCTGAAAGAACGGAACAAAGATTTCAGATGTTGCTCCCGACCAGGGGAGACAGGGTTTGGGGTTTGAGTCCAGCCAAGTTAACTGACAGCTTAATAAAAATTACCCTTCAAAGAAATATAGCAGAATCCAGTCTCTATAACATATCATTCATAATGTTCAATATCTAATCACTAGATATGCAGAGAAATAGGTGAACAGATGCAGTGGCTCATGCCTGTAATCTCAACATTTTGGGTGGCCAAGGTGGGAGGATCACTTGAGGCCAGGATTTGAGACCAACCTGGGCAACATGGAAAGACCTCATCTCTACAAAAAAATTTTAAAAAATTAGCCAAGTGAGAGCCATGATCACACCACTGCATTCTAGCCTGGGTGACAGAGTGTCTCTGGAAAAAAAAAAAGAAAGAAAGAAGCAGGAAAAGATAGCCCATACTCAAGTTAAAAAACATTCTGCTGACCCCGGCCCTGAGATCATCCAGATGTTGTAACTAGCAGACAAGAATGTTAAAGCAGCTGTTATAAACATATGTAAGAACTTTATGAAAAATATATGGATTATGAATGAACAGATGGGGAATACTAGCAGAAAAATAAATACCATAATAAAAGAACCAAATGGAAACTCTAGCTGAAAATTACAAGGGAAAAAAACATTAAAAAATACACTGGATGGGTTTAACAGAAGATTAGAGATGGCAGGAAACAGAGCTAGTGAACATGTAGATAGACCAATAGAAATTATTCTATTTCAAGGACAAAGGGGAAAACATTAAACAAAAATAAAGAGCACTTTGGAGGCTTGTGGGACATCAAGCTGTCAACTCTTTGGGAAGGTCGAGGCAAGAGGATTGCTTGAGCCCAGAAGTTCAAGACCAGCCTGGGCAACAACATAGAGAGAACTTATTTCTAAAAAAAAGAAAAAGAAAAAAAAGATAGCAGGGCATGGTGGTACATGGCTGTAGTCCCAGCTATTCAGGATGCTGAGGCAGAAGGATCACTTGAGCCCTGGAGGTCGAGACTGTGGTGAGCCATGATTGTGACACTGCACTCCAACCTGGGTGACAAAGTAAGACCCCCAACTGAAAAACAAACAAACAAAACAAGGCAAAAACTTAATAAATTTGGTAAAAGATATCAACTTAAGATTCAAGAAACTCAGCTAACTCCAAGTAAAATAAGTATATAGAAAACCACACCTAGGCACTTGATACTCAAACTACTGAAACATGAAGGTAAAGAAAATATACTGAATGCATCCAGAGAAGAACAATGATATAAATGATGGCCAACCTCTCATAAGAAATGATGGAGACCATAACATAACTGAGTAACATCTTTAAAATGCTGAAAGAAAACAAAACCAAACCAAACCCTGCCAACCTAGAACTTTATATTCAGCAAAAATACGTTTTTAAATGAATACAAAATAAATACATTTTAAGATAAAAATATGTAAAGAGAACTCATTAAAGTAGAACTAGACTATAAGAAATGTTAAAGTAAGTTTTCCAGTCTGAAGGGAAATGGCACCAGATGGCAACTCAGATTTGTGGGAAAAATAAGGACCTTCAGGCATGATAAATATGTGAGTAAATATAAGAGACCATATATATTTTGTCTTTTCTTATTTTAAATTTCTTAAAAGACATATGACTGTTTAAAGAAAAA